AATTATGGCCAATTATTTTCGGATATAGAGTCCAAGCTCCTGATCCTGCTACTTCCTCCTCGTAGCGTGTTTCCCTCGTTGAGTCTCCCTGCGATCCAGTGCTTCCTTCTATAGTGTCGTTGTTGGTGTTTAGTTTTGTTAATTTGTTGGTTTGGTTTTACGTAGGATTATTTCGCGTCCGATTTTGGGTATTTGGTTAAGGTCATTAATTGGATTTGAACTGTTTATATTTTTGTGTGCTTTTTACGCGGCGCGCCCGAATTATTTGGATATCTGTATGTGACTTTTTATACTGTGAGTAAGTATGTACGTAAACTTGTCTGCTCTGATTGTGGTAAGTCTCACTTATTACACTTAAAATGGCATAACTTGTTTTTTCAGTTTTCACTTAATTAGTTAAGTATGCACCAGTGATGCCAGATTGTGGGTAATTTGCCTATTTGAGGGATATTTTGCAACAAAACTTATTAAAAGGGAAAAAAGGGACATTTCAAATAAATAAGGGATTTTATTTTGATGCAGTTATTGTTGCATAATTGATCCAAATTTAAGAATATTCGACATTCTTACGCAATTAATCTTTCTGAAGATGTGATGTGGAATGAAATGGTATATAATTGTTAAAAAGTATAAGGACAATTTCGAAAATTTTCTTACGTTAACCAATTCAAGCGCTGAGTAAGAAAGAATCTTTTCAGTTGTAACTGGTGTTTCGTGTAAAAAGCGGAACAAATTATCTGATGAAATGTTAAATAGCACATGAATGTGCTTCAATTTTTAAGTCACCAAAAAATTCTTTTAGGCCCTGAATGAGTGAAAAAATGCAGAAAAAGGGGTTTTTTCTTAACAGCGGTCGGCCCCCGGCAGGCAATGGCAAACCTCCGAGTGTATTCCTGCCATGAAAAACAGCTTCTCATAAAAATACACTCGCCATTCGGAGTCGGGGTAAAACTGTAGGTCCCTCCCCTTTGTGTGACAACAACAAGGGGCACGCCACAAATTGGAGGAGAAGCACATATGTATGTGTAAGCGCCAATTATTATTATTATTATTTTAATGGATTTTACTTCTTTACTACTGAAACATGTATATGTCTAAATTCGTTGGGAATTTTTTGGGATAAATTTTTAAGCTGTGGGTAATTGAGGGATTTTTTCTCAATTTTCGTGGGATTTTTAACAGAGAATGTCTGGCATCACTGGTATGCACATCGTTTTACGAATAAATAAGCATATAAGTATAAATGTAATATGCCACTGTGCACTTAGATATTCTTGTTTATATACGTTATAATTTGTTTTGTGGACTGTAAACCAAAAATTTTATTTTTTTTGTTTGTTCTATAAGTGCAGATCTGATGCCGTTAGCAAAAACTCCCTTCATGTATTGTATGTATACATAAATATGTATGTATACAGATTTGAACGAACTAAAATCCATGTAGGAGCTTCAAAACTATCACATTCGAATATACACAGCTCTCGAATACTTGGTTTTTAACAATTACCGATTATTTTCTGCTCAAAAAAATTAAAGGCAAATTTTAACTTTTATTTTTGCCTTAAAAAAATAAAAAGCAGAAATAATCGGTATTATTTGCTCAAAATGATAAATGTCATATTTTTAAAAGTCATGGAGGAATCAGAATTTACAATGAGAGACTAGTCCAATGGTACTGTTGCGGCCCAATGAGTCATCTTATTAACTTTCCATTTAAAGAATATAAATATACATTGTAATTTTAATGCCTATGGGCAACCTTGACACTTTTATAATGAAATACTAATTTGTTCCTTTCTATGCACCCCTGAAACTGAAAGAAACGTGGCCTCGCTAGATCGTATGTCAAAACGAGACGATTCATTAAGTTTCAGGGAAAAACACGAGTAAGGTGAGCCTTTCTAAATATTGTAATTTAAAATGTCTAGACACTTTGAATATGTATCGATATTAATACTAAACTCTGTAAAACTTGAATTTCCAGATATTAAAACTATAAGAATACCAATAACGATTTTCGGTAAATCTGGGTATTTGTTCTTAATACACGTGAGGGATCTCCCTGTTGCAAAAGTCGTGGCTTATTCGTATGGTTATACAACGAGCGGCGACATTTTATTTTAATATCTTACTCCAGCGCATTTCGTTTGGAGTAAATCGTAACTTAACTCAATGCCAAGGCACCCATACAATCTAAGAAGAATGTCTGAACGCGAAGACTCTGCCAACGAAGAGGACCTAGACGAAACTGTCGAACCAGAGAAAGAGCTAGAGCAGCTCCGGGAAAAATTGAAAACTCTTCAAGCATCTTTAAATGCGTCGAATGAAGAAAATAGCCTACTCAAGAAGGAAATACAATTGCGCGTCAATCAGGCCGACGCACATAGCAAGAACATCATCGCTGCTGCTGCCACCACGAGCTCTGCCAACGTCAACACCGCCGCCAACATGCCCGTCGCTAACACCTCTACCCAAGTGCCTTTATTTGCTGCCGCCTCCGACGCTACGGAAATGACTCGAAATAATAAAACCTCAACCAAGGTAAGTTCTGCTTATACTTATAACAGTGCCTACAATATATACGCCAATTCCGCCGGCGTACTACCTAGCCGCGTCACCTCTGCCGACGCACCCGCAAACGTCAACACTTCTGCCGACGTAGGTACATCTGCCTCTGCCAACGCATACCGAATATGCGAAAATGTCGGATTCAACCGTCCATACGAACATCGTCCGTCGATTCTAACCTCAAACTGCATGCACAATTTACAACAGCCCCAGCCGCATGGACCAAATTGTATTGGTCAAAGCACACCATCTTCGTTAAACCAATCCCAAGCGATTGCTCCCCAATACTCCTCGTTTAATATTCGAAAGTTGATTGATTTGCCCGTATTTCACGGCTCGCCAGAAGAATGGCCTATGTTCTCTGTAGCCTATAGAGAAACGACAGCCGCGTATGGCTATACAAACCTAGAAAACTTGCTACGTTTACAAAAAGCTTTAAAGGGCGATGTTCGCCAACGCGTACAATCCTTGCTTATACACCCGGCGAGTGTTGATTCGGTCTTAAATTCGCTTGAATTTATGTATGGACGACCGGAGCTCCTCATTCGTAGCCAGATAGCCAAAGCAAGGGCATTCCCGGCTATTCCAGCTGGAAAATTAAGCGAAATTATAAATTTGTTTACGATGGTATCCGATTTGGCAGCTTTCCTCGAAAGCGCCGGTGCACACCCCTATTTAGCAAACCCAACCCTAATGGACGAGTTAGTGAGCAAGTTACCACTTAACAAAAGAGAGGAGTGGGTGCGCCACACCTTCAGCATCCAACGGCCATATCCTAGCTTGCGAGACTTCTGCGCCTGGTTACAACAAATTGCCACATATATTTCTGTTGCTAATGACATGGGTTCCACTAAAGGTCCACATGTAAATGAAACCGCAGCCCACAAACTAAAAGCTTCAAAGCCAGTGCTGGCAATCGAAGAAAATAAACAAAATTGTATATTGTGTCAGGAAAGTCACAGGTTAAATCTTTGCTCAAAATTCAAAGATTTGGATACCACTCAAAGGTGGGAAGTCATAAAAAGACATCATTTGTGTTTTAGTTGCCTCAACGCAGGCCATAATACCCAAAATTGTTCAAGACGTCGCGTGTGTGCAATTAATTCCTGCCGCAAGTTTCACAACCGCCTCTTACATAATTTTAATTTTACGTCTTTTGACAAAGGCAACTCTGTATCAAAAAATACTCCGCTCACCGCCACAAGTGGTTGCGAAACTGTAGGTGCTTGTCAAACTGTGAAACCAGCTGACAAAGGCAAAAGTGAAAAGCAAAACAAAACATTGGATCGTCAAACTCTATTGAAATACTTGCCGGTTGTGCTGAGCGGGCCAAAGGGAAAAATGGAAATAATAGCATTTATCGATGAAGGATCCAAAATTTCATTGCTGGAAGAGAAGACGGCAGATTTACTTGGATTAAAGGGCGTATCCAGCTTGCTATCACTAAAGTGGATTGGTGACAGAACTACAAGTGAAATGTCAAGAGAAGTACGCGTTGAAATCGCTGGTGCCTTTGAAGGCGCTGATAATTTCTTAATGAAAGGTGTACGGACGACAAAACAACTTCTGCTTCCATCGCAGTCGTTAAACTTCGACAAACTTGTCGAGCAGCATAATGAATTAAAAAGAATTCCAATTAGAAACTACAAAAATGCCACAGCGCAGTTGCTAATTGGCGTGTCACACACAAACTTAGTAAGACCAACCAATATGTTAAATTTCGACGACGGATTTACTGTGCTTAGCACGAAACTCGGTTGGGTGTTGTTTGGATCCAACGAATCCAATTGCGCAGAAGCTATTGTTGGCCATGTAGCAGAAGACAACGACACTAATAGATTTGCAAAAACAGATGACTGAGTATTTTGAATTGGACAATTTGAAGCCGGCGCCTCTGCCGCGATTGAAGTCAACAGCTGATGTACGAGCAGAACATATTTTAAAACAAACTACGAAATATGTGGGTAACAAGTACTAGACTGGGCTTTTATGGAAGAGCGATAACGTAATATTGGGGGAAAATTATAGCATGGCCATGAAACGACTGGAAGGTGTCGAAAGGCGTATGTCAAGCGATAACGACCTGGCGAGCTGGTATAAAGAAAAAATTGGGGAATATATGAGTAAATCGTACGCCGTGAAATTAACGGCGCTTGAGTCTGCTGCGGTAAATGAACGCACTTGGTACTTGCCACATTTCGTGGTAAATAAAAATGGCAAAAGGCGACTTGTGTTTGACGCCGCTGCAAAACAAAATGGGACGTCGCTGAATGCGGCATTGATGAAAGGGCCTGATGAGTACCAACCAAAGCCGTTGTTGTCTATATTATTTAAATTTCGCCAGGGTAAGATCGGTGTGTGTGGAGACATAAAAGAAATGTTCCACTGCGTCGATATAAGACAGGAAGATCGCTGTGCGCAACGGTTTCTGTGGAGAGACGGGGATGCAATATTTGATATTTGGCTCGATTTGCTCGCCGTGCTCAGCACAGTACATCAAAAACTTAAATGCTGAAAATTTTCGAACCAAATACCCCCGCGCAGTGGAGGGCATAATTAACAGGCATTACGTGGACGACTACGTAGACTCATTCGATTCCGTTGATGAAGCGATTGATGTAACTTTGCAAATTAAAGATATACATATTTCAGCCAATTTTGAGCTTAGACGTTTTGTGTCAAATTCAAAAAAATTATTAATTTCAGTTGCCGATACACCGACAACATCACTAGAATCGACGACAAAAAATATGTTTTATGGCGAGTCAAATTCAGGAAAGATATTGGGCATGTATTGGGATACCGAAACTGATCAATTTTTTTTTCAATTAAAATTTTCGAAAGTGCCAAATGCGGTGCTGACTGGCAAAAGGCGACCCACAAAAGCCGAAGTTTTAAGCTTAATGATGTCGATATTCGACCCATATGGCTTCTTGTGCAATGTGATTTTGGCGTCAAAGGTAATGATGCAAGAGTTGTGGCGACAAAATGCTGGTTGGCATGCACCCGTGCCGGAGAAGATATACCAGGACTGGTATAAATGGTATAACGAATTGAGCAAGGTAAAGGATTTCAAAGCACAGAGGTGCTATCATCTGCATTTTACTAATACTGAGTCGCAAATCGATTTACGTATTTTTGTTGATGCAAGCGAGCTTGCATTCGCTGCAGTTGCATACTGGCGCGTACACTACCAAAACAATGTCACAGTAATATTCGCATATGGGAAATCAAGATGTAGTCCAATCAAACCACTATCAATACCACGATTAGAATTACAGTCCGCAGTCTTGGGGGTGAGATTAAAAGAGTCAATCGTGACAAGCCATGATACTCAGCCAAAAAATATTGTGTTATGGACGGACTCGAAAACGGTCATTCAATGGCTGCACTCAGACGCTAGGCGTTATAAGCAATATGTATCAAATCGAGTTTCAGAAATTTTACAAACGACAACTCCTAATCAGTGGCGGTGGGTGCCAGGAAAATTGAATCCAGCTGACGAAGGGACAAGATTGCAGACATTTACTGCCAACAGCAAGTGGCTGAACGGTCCATCATTTCTAAGTTTGTGTGAGGACGAGTGGCCGCTTATGCCAGACGGCATAAATTCAGATGAAAAGCTTATGGAAATGCGCACCAAGGACTTGTACACCGTTCAGCATCACGAAAACGTCATTCCTTTCAACAAGTATTCAAATTACTACCGCTTTTTAAAAATAATGTGTTGGGTCAAGCTCGCAATTAAAAGGTTTCGTTCGTACTGTATTAAAGGCGAATCACTGCAACCATTAAAAATAAGTACCAATGTAATGAAAGATACTGAATATTTTATTTGCCGCATCGTGCAAGAAACGGAGTTTAAGGATGAAATAGAAATTCTTCGCGAAAACAGGGAGCTGAGTAAGTCAAGTGCATTGTGGAAGCTGACTCCTAGCCTTGACGGGAATGGTATTTTACGCCTATCTGGACGCTTGGACAATGCCAGTTGTGTGCCGATAGGCACGAGGAGACCAATCATACTTCCAAAAGATCACGATTTCACCCGGTTAATTATACAGCACTACCACGAATTGTTCCATCACCACAACCAAGAGGCAATCGTGTGCGCCATACGTTATAAATTTTGGATTCCGAATTTACGTCGCCTTGTGCAATCAACAAAACGTAGATGTCAACTATGCAAAAACTTAAGCGCTGTTCCACAAACACCGTTAATGGGGCAGTTGCCAGTCGATCGTGTAACGCCATATACCCGCCCATTTACTTATACAGGCGTCGATTATTTTGGACCAGTTTGGGTAGCTGTGGGACGACGTCGTGAGAAGCGATGGGTGGCTGTATTCACGTGCTTGACGGTTAGAGTGATCCACTTGGAATTAGCAAAGGATTTATCCACTGATGCGGTTGTGCTTTGTTTGAGGAACTTCATGAATCGGCGAGGCATCCCTCTGCGGATCAGAAGTGACAGAGGCACGAACTTCATTGGCGCCAGCAAGGAGCAATGGTTAGACATGGAGCAGGGTTTGCAGCGCGAATGCCTCCGTAAGAGTATCGAATGGGTGTTTAATACGCCTTTACACCCATCAGCTGGTGGCGCTTGGGAACGCATGGTGCAGTCAGTGAAGAAAGTACTGTCATTTACGTTAAAAGAAAAAGCACCACAGGTAGAGGTGTTGCAGAGCTTGTTAATCGAGGCAGAAAACTTAATTAATTCACGACCGCTTACACACATACCAGTCGAGAGTATGGACGCGGACCCGTTGACTCCGAACCATTTTTTATTGGGTTGCCCCAATTTCGTACAAACCTCCGCAGTCCCAGAAAATGGCTGTCTCAGAAAAAAATGGCACGTAGTACAACAATTAAAACAGACGTTTTGGAAAAGGTGGGTGTTGGAATACCTGCCAACTTTGACACGTAGAACGAAGTGGTTCCGGAGAGTCGACCCAATCAAGATTGGCGATGTGGTACTCATATGTGATGAAAACGAGAGTCGCGGGCAATGGAAGCGTGGCATCGTGGTGGAAGCTTTTGTAGCAGCAGATGGCCAAGTACGTTCCGCACTGGTGAAAACAACGCAAGGGACTCTTCGTAGACCGGCATCCAAGCTAGCAGTCCTCGATGTTTGTGGTGATTCTCCGTCTCTTTCTTCGAATCACGGGGGGCGGAATGTTGCGGCCCAATGAGTCATCTTATTAACTTTCCATTTAAAGAATATAAATATACATTGTAATTTTAATGCCTATGGGCAACCTTGACACTTTTATAATGAAATACTAATTTGTTCCTTTCTATGCACCCCTGAAACTGAAAGAAACGTGGCCTCGCTAGATCGTATGTCAAAACGAGACGATTCATTAAGTTTCAGGGAAAAACACGAGTAAGGTGAGCCTTTCTAAATATTGTAATTTAAAATGTCTAGACACTTTGAATATGTATCGATATTAATACTAAACTCTGTAAAACTTGAATTTCCAGATATTAAAACTATAAGAATACCAATAACGATTTTCGGTAAATCTGGGTATTTGTTCTTAATACACGTGAGGGATCTCCCTGTTGCAAAAGTCGTGGCTTATTCGTATGGTTATACAACGAGCGGCGACAGGTACCTTTGAAAAAAGCTATAGCATAATTTTTCACTATGCCTTTTTGATATCAAAAATTTTAAAATAACTTTTATTTTCAGTCTCTGGTACATACATATGTACATATAGCAGCAGTTAATTTCATTTAAAGAAATGGCGTGTCGTCCATTTCCGCTATAGCGTATGTAAATGGTGCATATATTTAGGCACAATATTTAACTTCTGCTGGCGGGGCGACATCTGGAGTCTTCTAATTGTATCTCCTTGATATGATGCCTACAACGAGGTTCATATCTAGACTAGGTTGATATCTAGAATTTGCCACAAATAGCTTTGCTACACTATCGCCTGCAGCTTTAACAATTTTTTAGTGGTTTTACGTTCTTTGGCAAATTACGCTCTGTTAGCCATAAATCTAACTATTTTTTGACCGCCTTTGAATCAAGACCCCTGGACCATATAAGGAATTCATTTATATTTTAAACTGGCCAATGCCCGCTTACTTCGCGGCGCGTAATAATAGGCCAATAATAGTAACGCTGTGATACCATATGGAATACCAATCCCTTTCGGTGTCATGAGCTTTACCGATGGTCTTATTTCCACCTGTGAGATCTCTGCCAGGCATCTAATCTTGTTGTATGATCTTGTAACTACAACATTGGTGCGATGCGTATGCCAATAAAAGTTATTATAGGGAAACTCAAGATCACAGAAGTGCGTTTTCTGTTATAGGAGGGTCAAGAATCCTCGCTGTCCCACAGGATGAAAAGTTTTCCGGTACATTGCTAAATGAGTCGTGTGATCTCTTAAGTATCTTTCAAATGAAGAAATTGATATACCTACGGTGATCTTTCCTTTTTAATTCACCACTTTTACAATTCGTGGTAAAATTTATGAACTGATTTCTGAGTAGATGCAAGACCGCATGATCGTGCATCAGGGCGTCAGAAAAACTTAACCCCATCCTTCATTTAGACATCTGAAAACTAAATTCGTATAACTTAAACATAGTGCCAAAGCAGACCAACCACACGGGGTTTCTATACATTTCGTCTGTAGCGCCATCCATTGGGTTCATTTTCTACAAAACAATTGCTTACCATAAAATGAATACGTGTTATGAATTTCAACCTTAACTCCAGCTGCACTAATCAGGTAAATTTTAATCAAAAGAATTTTCCATCATACAGGTACATAGCTCACATTTCAAATTTGAACGAAATCGGTTATTAAATACGATTTTTATAAATAACTCTACTCCAGCACCACCAGGCGAGTTTTCTAGTAGCATGTAATTGGACCATAATGTATGTAAGATAACCTCCGACAATCTGACGGAACTCTATTCAGTGTTTTTTGAGTTTATTCCGAACAACGAAAACGGCTATCATTTTATGCAAATAGGTATGTAGATAGGACAGTTTATAGCGAAACTCGTAAAAGCAAAGCTCTATTCTTTGTGAAAAATTAAAAAAAAAAAACCTTAAAAATTTTCACATAAATTTTACCTTACTGAAAATTAAAGACAAAGTTACAATAGTTCAATGGGGTTTAGAAATCTAGGAGAAAACGCTTAACGATCGAGCCAGTCTTTCCAATAATTACCACTTTTCGCCATAACTACGGTATTGATAATATATGTAGCTGTGTAGAATTTCAGGACGTTAGTGTAAGCAGTTCCAGAGATAAGCTATATGAGAAGTTCAGTTTGTATGGAATGAAGGAGCCACGCCCCCTTTCCCAATACATTTGTAATATATGCATCAGTGTTAAGTGTCAGTTCCCCAGCGTAATTGGTTTTAGAGATATATTGGTTTTTTACGGTTTAGTCTGTATAAGAATTTTAGGAATAACCCGAGCTACATACCGAGTAAATTTTTGGTCAGAATATTTATTTTCAAGGTGTTGTCAAATATGAACCAAGTCGGTGCAGCCGTTTAGTAGATTAGTGAAATACATTAACACAAATTACAATAAAGAGAACTGTATGAAATTGTAAAACGTGACGTCTCAGATTTCTTAATTTTTTGGCAGCAACAACGAAAAGTTTTAATTTTTTTAGCGAAAAACCTTCCACACAGAAATAAAAAAAAATAAGTTTGTGGTTATATCAACGCGAAATTTTGAGAAAGGTCCGTTGCTAACTCTAAATATAAACAACGACGCACTGGAAAAAGTTAATACGTTCAAATACCTAGGAATAATGATCGACGATAAACTAAAACAAAAAAAAAAATGAGAGCTCTAGCAATATGTACATCGGTGAAAACTGCATTTATCTCCATACATTAGCTTTTGCGTGATGCGCTTACAAACATACAGACAAACATACCAGAATTTCATATTTGGCTTCTGTTGATCTAATAAACCCCCTATTAATTTTTCTTTAACATCTATTATGTACAGATATCGGCCTGTTGCAATTTTATTATTCTCAAGTACTCTCGTTTGATACCCATATGGCAACACTTAGTTTATATAGTAAATTTAACTGAATTAAAGTTTTCAAATAAGTGGCAACCCGCTTCAAGAATATTTTCAAAAGTAAGCTTCCTAATCCTCTTTAGTTTAATATTCGTATTGCAATATTTCATTTATTTTACAAATTTCAATGAATAAAATTTTTCAATCAGTTGGCAAATCCCCTAAAAATATTTTCAGCATTAAAATTTCCTAGCCTCTTTAATTTGATGCCAATATTGCAATATTTAATTTATGCTATCAATTAAATTAAAGTTTTCAAATAGGTGGCAATCTTCCACAAAAATATTTTCAGCTGTAAGCCTTTGTACATTTATTTCTTTTGACAGCCATATTGCAGTATTCACTTTACCGTATCAATTGACCTAAATTGAAATTTTAAACACAGGTGGCAACTCTCTAATTTTTTCTTCTATATTGGATGCTAGAGCTCTAGCGATACATCTGTGAAAACTGCATTCAATTCCATGTTTTCACCTGATGCGCGTACAAATATGCAGACAGACAGAGATTCAAAAATTCTAAAAATTGTTTATTTGGCTTCTGTAGCTTTAATAAAAACCCACCATATTAATTTTTCTTTAATATCTATAAGGTACAGATATCGACCTGTTACAATTTTATTATATGTATAGATGTAGATATATATTTAATTTATTTTACCAATTTAATACAATAAAATTTTTCAAACAGGTGGCAGCCCTCCCTAAAAATATTTTCGGCAATAAAATTTCCTAAAATCCTTCAGTTGGATACCCATATTGCAATATTCAATTTATCTTATAAATTAAATTAAATGTAAATTTTCAAACAGGTGGCAACTCTAAAAAAATATGTTTGGCTGTAAGCCTTCTTCAGCCTCTTTCTTTTGACGCCCATATTGCAAAATTAATTTTTTCTTATCAATTTACTTAAACTCCAATTTTCAAACAGGTGGCAACTGTCTAATTTTTGTCTTCCTATATTTTAAGTTAGACCTCTAGCAATACATCGGTGAAAACTGCATTCAAATCCATGCATTCGTTTTCGATTGATGTGCGAACAAACATACAGGCAGACAGACAGACAGACTAGAATTCTAAAAACGGTTGATTTGGCTCTAATAAAGACCCCCACATTAATTTTTCTTTAATACCTATAATGTACAGACATCGACCTGTTACAATTTTATTATATGTAAAGATTGCATTGTCATCGTGATTGGAACTATGCTGAAAATTTCAAGTCTCTAACTTGTCGAGAAGTTAGTTTAAAATCGATTGGAAATTTCCGCGATTTCCGCGCGATGACCAAGTTAAATAAAAGCTTGTAAAAAGAAGGCATTTTCACTTAATGACGTTAGCAGCCACGTTAGCCATTTGACTTTTGCTTAACAACAACTATCAACATCTAGCTACCAGATTGAGAATTATAATAAACAAGTTTTCTGAAAAGAATTTGATCGATAAAGCAAAAAATAAAATTCATAACTTTTTAAAATAATACAAAGAAAAATGAGTTGCGCGTTTGGAAGCTGCAGAAATACAAAATACCACTGCAAGGAAGGCGGAACAGCATTTTTAAAATTTCCAGCGCTTCCTTTTGTGGAACAAAAATTGCTTGAAGCCTGCGGCGTTAGCGAGGAAAGCCTTTTAAAATATTACGGATATTTATGTATGTTCTCAGCATTTTGCTACCACGGAAATTAGCATTAGCCAGAACAAGACCAAACTCTCCAAAAGTGCAGTGCCGCGAAATGAGAGGTACTGAAAAACTGTGTTGGTTAAAACATAGAAAAGGAATGAATTTTTCTTGCAGTCTCCAACTTGGGGAACCCTTCGGAAAGGAAAAATACTTACATAGATGAATAATGGAGTTTTTGGGTAGGTATTACTTTATTGCCTTTCAACTATTTATGTTTCGATGGGTTTGTTGAATTTATTAAATAAAAACATTTAACAATGCTAACGCAACCTACATACTATACACAGAATAATTTTAAGTTTTGGGGTAGGGGTTAGAATTACCATAAACGTATGTAAGTACATATGCCATTATCCATTGTATTTCGAAGTAAGATTGCATTCTTTTTAAGTACATATTTCAAATACATGCGTATGTATATCATGAACTAGACTTGTTTGGTTTCTAGGAAGACTAAAATATTTACACCCATTAACTGTGAAAGAAATTCCCATCTCGAAATTTCCTAATTTATTTTTAAATATTCAGCCTCATTGCGTAAGTCGTAAATTAGGCTAAATTGTACGACGCGAAATAAGTAAACAATGAAAATCGTCGAAAACTATGCAGTCCTGCCAAGTTTTTCCATTTTAATACACTAGTCGAGTCGAAATTTTAGGCAATGACATGAAATTTTCGATACTATTCGACTCTCGAAAAACGACTTGCATTCGACACGACTCTCGCAATGAGGCTGATTAACAAAATTGTAACGCTGCTAGCAACAGGAACAAATTATGAAGCTTCAAAAATCCCAGTATCCGTCAAAAAGTAGTTTATTGAAACCACAGTATTCCCCGCTTAATTGACCCCCGGTTAATTGATTTCCCCGCTTTTTTGAACCACCTTCTCGTTAAAAA